GGAGTAAAGGACACTTATACCCCACCGGTTAGCACGGCGCTAACTGCACCCTCGTCTCAGAGCGTGTGGAGCTGGTCAGTATCTCTAACAGACCTGACTGTGTGGACTCTGACACTGTACGACTCACTGTAGTCTAGAAACGTGAACTGAATCGAGCAGATTAGCATCACTGCATTACAAAACTGGCTGTTTTAGTCTAACAATCGAGCTCTGGTCCTGGAGGGCCGCTGGTCAGCACTGTTCACACCTGATTCGGCTCATCAGTGACCAGGCTGACTGTGTTTACCACAGCCCTTCTTCTGACCACCATCAGAGACACCTGTTGCTGCGTTTGTTCAGCAGAGTTGATCACTGTAATGATCTTTTTACTGGAGTAAACAGTCCATCCTCTAGAACCCGTACAGAACACAGCAGCATGGATCCTCACAGCACCAACACAGAGAGCTCATATCACCCCGTTACACATTGCACTGACCGCCTGGGTCTGTTAGAGAGAGTTTAAAGCTCTGCTGCTGGTTTTTAAAGCTCTAAATGACCTTAAAGCTCCTGAATGTCTGTTTATGATCTCAGATCTGCAGATTCTGACCTTCTGAACTCCTTCAGTAAAACACAGAAAACGTGGAGAGACTCTTTCAGTTATTCTACTGCTTCCTGGGAGCTGCCGTCCTGCAGAGTTTAGCTCCAGCCTGTATCCAGTAAGCTGCCCTGCCCCCTTACTTAACTCTACTACATCTGATCCAGCCATTTAGTGATTGGAAAGAGGGTGATTAGCTGGAGCAGGTGTGAGGAGGTGAGGAGGTGAGGGAGGCCAGAATCAGGGTTGGAGACCAGCGTATAGATGGGTTTCCTGTTACAGCCGAGAGATGAACAGTCGTCCCCCTAACGGAGCTGCAGACAGCCGGGATAACTTCACTCTCTGTTTCTGATTTAAATGAGGTTTGAATGGAGAAACATTAACGTTAAATATCAGACTGAATGTCGTGGGTCGGAAAACGACGTTGTGTTTCGACAGACGTGATTCTGTAAGTTTGCTGGTGCAGTTAGTTCAGAGTTCAGCTCCAGTCCTGAAACCCCTGCACTGCATAACTGTGGTTTCCTGGTTAAAATATCTGATATTATTAGCTAATTAATCCATTCTTGAGCTGAACGAGGTGTGAAACACTGAACTGTACAGTGCAGCGGCTCCAAGCCTGGAGTGAAAACACTGAGTTAAAGGTCTGTGTGTCTCTCGTCTCTCGGCTTCTGTCGCGTCTTACAGGTGAATCGTTCACAAAGCACATTAAAGGCATCGCGCAGCGCAGTGACTCCCTGATTCGGCCCTCAGAACGGCGGCGACTGTACAGTGTGACGTCACGCGAAATGTGAGAATAAGCAACACTAGACAAAAGAATTAGAACCTCAGTGGAACATCAAGACACCCCAGAACGTCTCCACTGCTGGTCTGATAGAACCAGAGAACCTCGATTCAACACGCAGAACACAGCAGAACAGAAGCACTGCGGACTGTCTGAGATGATCAATTAACAATTAAACCTCATTCCTAATCAGAAGATGACGAGTAATCATTCAGAACACGCGCTGTGGTCAGTACAGGGGTCTGTGCCGGACCCTTACCCGGCTCGGGGGTCGCACTGGTGGGGCTCGATAGGGTTCCCAGGGAGCTCATGGTGGAGAACATCATCAGCCAATCAGAAGTGGCCGCAGGTGTTGGGGTCACTGAGGATGATGATGATGATGATGAAGAAATGTAGGAGGTCATCACGTCGTCAGGCGGCAAGTCCGACTGAAAGGTTGCTGTGGTGACCGGTGCCGTCGTCACTGTGCTATTGCCAGCCGTCCAACCTGTAGTGAAGGCCATGAGGGGGACAAGAGTCGCCACAGAGACGTCTGTACCAGAAAAGTGGGCGGAGTCATCGGAGTCCAGCAGGCCACTCCCGATTATTCCTGAAAAACGGAAACAGGAAACTGTTCAACTTCACACAGAGAGGGAGGGAGAGAGAGAGAGAGAGAGAGTGAAGGCAGGAGGAAAAGGAAGGAAGAAAGAAAGAAAGAAAGAAAGAAAGAAAAGAAAACGAAAGAAAAAGTGAAAGGCAAATAAAAAAGAAAACAAAGAAACAAATAAAGCAATGAAATGAAATGAAAATGAAATGAAAAAAACAAAAATAAAAAAAACTGAAAATGAAAGAATACATGAAAGAAAGGAAGGCAAATGGAGAGAAAGAAAGAAAAAAGGAAAAATAAATGAATGTAATGAATGAGCGAAAGAAAGACTGAACTAATGAAAAAAGTGAAAGAATGAATGAATCAAGTAAATGAATAAATGGGTGAGTTAACGGAGAGAGAAAGAGAGAGAGAAGGATAGAGAGAGAAGGACAGAGAGAGAGACAAAGATAGAGAGAGAGAAGGATAGAGAGAGAGAAGCATAGAGAGAGAGAGACAAAGATAGAGAGAGAGAAGGATAGAGAGAAAGAGAGAGAGAGAGAGAGAAAGAGAGAGAAAG